CTTAATGACCAATTTAAAATTTTACTTGAACTTTGGCACTAATATTAACTCCAGAATTGATTAATATTTAGGGAAAAATAAGAAAAGTACCTCATCGCTTCAAGTAGAGTGATTTTTTGCCCATAACATTCACAAACGACGTTTGGAGTTTCAATTTGTTTAAATATGTGAATATAAAATTCTACATGACGGATATTGTATATAAGATTGGCGCTAATAACGTTTACGACTTTCACATAATATAAAATTAGATGTTAAGTGATTTTACAAATTTGTCAAATAACTCTAAGTCAAGTGAAAGTAACATGCAATTTTAATGTTCGTGTTGATGATTTTCATCACGTGAAGACTTATATTTACATATTTAAATAAATTAAAGATCTAGAACCTTGTTTTTTAAAGTTGAGAATCCAAAACGACACTAATTGAAAAGTTAAGGAGCTTCATCCAATATTAAATAATATATAATTATTTACAAATTTTCTAGAATACACTTGTATTTATTAACGCGTCAATTGATTTTTCCAACTAAATACTCTTTGGCGATATACAAATAGTTTCTCACTAAAAAACTAATATGATCATTCAAATTAGGCAAAACGATTGTTGCTGTTACACCTTTTCCAATGAGGTTTTACGCATTGTCAAATGGCAACTACACAGCAAGAGAACTTAGGTCCTCACTCTACATCGTTCTACACGTAGCAATTTGGTAGAAACCCGTGGCCGAGCCCCCACAACTAAGCCACCATGGTCGAGCCCTATTAGCCGAGCTCCCATGAATGAGACGAGGAAGGTAGAGACATCTTAGGGAAGATCTTCATACAAGATCTTGTAACAAGTGGCTAATGTGGCAACTCACTGCATAGGCGGCTCAACTCAATCAACAAGTCTAGTATAGTCTTACATGTCAGGCCTAAGATTTCAAATGGTCATAACATTAAGTACACTTGAGCCTAAATTTGACTGATTGATGCCTATGACAAGAGGCCCTAGCTGCCAAAATAGGCCACGTGTCTTTTCATCCAACGGCTCTTACTCATCATCTTCTAATATAAAAGATCACACTTTGTGTCATTCCAAGGGTAGTGCAAGTTAGTCTTAAGCTATAACTTTGCTCTCTACATTCCTTTACTCCCGATACCGACCCCCCCTTTTTACATTAGAGACTCATGTTAAAAGCCCTCATATACTCATATATTTCTTTCCAAAACTAACTTGACCGTCGAAGAGTGTCCGGCCAGCTCCATCCACACTGGAGAAAGGCCATGTGTGGCTAATGATTTGTCCTAGTATGCAAGACTACGGCTTGCTTGAACATGAGAGGCATTAAGATCTGTTGGTCACATTGAATGTACATTTTTTGATGTCAACAGTTGCTTTTTAGTTTTATCGAATTGTCTGCTAGACAAAGTTGCTAAGAAAAATATGAGTGTCTAATAAATCAGAAATTCTGTTAACTTTGTCAAGTTAGCGAGAATGTTTCGATATTTTAAAAGTGCCAAAAGAAGAAATAGAATCTAATAATGTTAGAAATTTTATAAACTTTATCAAGTTGAGTTATGCTACACTTACAAAGGAGTTGACAAAGTTGGATGACAGAATCATATCCATACAAATTATTTTAAAAACAGATTTTTAAATCATTTGAAATTAATGGCCTGAATTTTCCAGCATACTTTGTAACCCACCCAAGTTTGTACAATTAGCTTTATTGTAAAATTGACTTTGTGTAATTTGACAATAATGTGTAGATAATACAATATTCATATAAAAAGGAAGAGAAAAAATTTGGAAAAACTTTTGAAAAGACAAGGGCGTATTTGTCAAGAAAAAATGTAAAATAAATAAAAATTAACATTACTAAGTAACCAAAAAATTATTCTATGGGGAAATTTTCCACTTTCTATTACTTGAGGCACATTTACTGGAATAAAATTGATTCTCCACGTACTCAATCGTAACTTATTAGTTGTGATATATGATGCACTAACAAGAATACTTATGTCCGATGTACAATTTTTCAAAAAGTATCGATACAATACGTTGCCGCTATGTGATTTGTTTATATAATGTTTAACAGAGTCCAAATCTTTTTTGTTATGGGACCTGATTCATTAAGCTGTCAGGATATTTCTTACTCTTTCGGCTCATTATTCTTACAATATCAAGAAGAATTAGTATGATCTATCTTTGTTGTTTAATTTCCTGTTTTACAAATTGTTCAATATATTGTATTTGCAATATTTTACACGGCATTCACGTATCTAACTTTATGAAGTTAGATTTTGTCTTTTAATTTAGACCACTGTTTAGAATATTGAAGCAAAACACGTTTTCATGAGTATCACTTGATAATCTAGTTGCGACTTCTTCAACAAATTCTATCACAACTAATTGTACGACTATAATTAAAGATTGAGAACTAACTTGTTTATTTTTAAATGTTAGAAAACTAACTTACTACTCAACCAGATATAGTATAATTTAAAGTAAATCCAGCCTTTCATGGGGATATGTACAAGTGGGGAATTGATGCCTTGCTCCAAGCATTGGATGGTCTATTCTGGAGGCATAGACTTTTAGTCTTTTAACAATGTAACAGGATTACAAGATCATCTTTCCAAGTCAGCAATAATCATTTTTAATTAGATCAAGATTAAAGGAACCACTTCATTTCCAATTTTATTGATTAGATAATATTTTGGGCATGTTTGATGCAAATTATTTTTTTTTTTGAATGAATTTTGTGAAAAGTGATTTTTTGGAAGTTTTATTGTTAAAAAAGTAGGAAATTTTTTGAATATACGTTCAAAATTATTTTATTAAAAGAATGTGTGATTACAAATGAATTTGAAAAAAAAAAGATTGTTTTTTTAAAGAATCTGTACCAAACAGTAGTTTATATTAATAAATATAAGCGTGTAGTTTATGTTAATAAATATAAGCGTGTAGTTTATGTTAATAAATATAAGCGTGTAGTTTATGTTAATAAATATAAGCGTGTAGTTTATGTTAATAAATATAAGCGTGTAGTTTATGTTAATAAATATAAGCGTGTAGTTTATGTTAATAAATATAAGCGTGTAGTTTATGTTAATAAATATAAGCGTGTGCAATTCAAAAACATGTGTTGGGAAAATGCATCTTAGTTACGACGTTCATGTGGAATGACTCAAGTTGGATGTCTCGAAATATGATCTTTTCTTTTGAATTTAAAATTTAACTCTTAAAAACTATGGCATAACATTGAAGAGTTTAAGGCTTCAATGTCAATTTAATTACACAAAAAAAAAATAATAATAAGAGGGCTAGAAAATCATAATTTTTATAACAAAGTTCATAAAATTGGTTAGTGAATCTAAAAACCACATTCGTAAAATCGCGATTGAGTTATAGCGGTAAGAGTACTATCAACACGTGTTGAAGAGGATAAAAGCTAGTGATTTTCAACTACAAAGGTCATTAAAATGTCCTCAATAAAATAATAAAGAAGAAATTACAAAAAATGTCCATTTAAATGTCCAAAATTTTTCAATGTCCATTTTTGCAATTTTTTGGATGAGAGTACCCCTAAATAGTTTCCATGACAAACTATATTAAAATGATGTTATTGACATTTCAAATGTTGTTCTCGATATTTGAATCCATTTATATTTCAAAAGTACGCATATCATAATATTAAATGTTCTCGACATTTTAAACATTGTTCTCGACATATTAAATGTCTAAAATGACATTTTATTCCGAATATGATATTTCTTTATACTTTAAATGTTGTTCTCGATATTTCTGTGTTTAACATTAATTATGATCATGTGTAGTATGAAATTATTTATTCTTTCGTTAAGGGTAAAATAGAGAATTTGGTATCAAATTTGGCCATTTTTGCGAAGATTATCAAAAGTGGACATTTTTAAATTGACATGTGTAAAATTTGACATTTTTGCAAATGCCCCTAAAATAAATCTAAAAAATTTCAATTTATAAAGTAAGATGATTTTAACTAAATCTCAATTATTGCATGTATGATGAAGTTCAAAGATAGAATTCTCTTCATTATACCACGCATTTAAGAATATTTGAGCTATATATTTGGTAAGTAGTATTAGATAGAACATAGCAATAGTTTTTTTAATAACAAGACAGTACACCAAATACCAAACTTCATCGAAATAAATCTTGTAAATTGATAAAATAAATAACCAACATACATGAACTTGAGCAAAATAAATAACCAACATACATGAACTTGAGCTACTGATCTTAACAAGATGAATGATAAGTGTATTTTATACATTTATTCAAGATTTTAAAACGATGACATTTAGTTGCTTATTGAATAATTATGGTCTAAATTATTGCATTTGGTGTTAAATAGGTAAAATTCAATGACGGTAGAAGAAATTGAAGGAAATAAGCAAAAATAAACAAAATTGGAGAAAATAGCTAAATTATAAGAGATCCAAAGTTCGGGAACTGAAGTGCAAATACTCAAAAGTTGTGTCGGACCTCACGATGAAGATTCAAGAGTTATCGGAGTCAATTGAATAAATAAAGACATCAAAGGGATGAAATATAATCAAATTATGATCATACATCAAGTTTCAACCGAAGAAATATATGCATCATTTTTAGACTCATATTGAGACCTACTTTTGACATAGCAAATGATCGAATTTGAAAATGATATTTGAAATAAAGTTGTATCCCTTTGAGTTAGATTTCTAGCGCATCTTGAATCGTCTCAATGGGACATCAAAAGAAAAAGTTATGATGAAAAAACTGAAAGTTGTGCAGTGCGATCGAATTGACGATAGCGCGGGATAGCGCCCAAGTGCTATGTTTCCGATTATTTTTTCCCCGAAAGTCAGCGCTTAGGCACTGCATGCGTAGCGGTTAGGCACTACCTGAATTTGTTTGTGTCACTTAAGCGCTAACTCCTTGCGCTTAGGCGTTGCGCTAAGATTGTCTAAGGCGCGTTTATGGGCCGTTTTGAAGTTCATAAAAATCCTACTTTCTACACAAACGGAGAAGGCATCTATAAATACATCTGTCTCACACTTTTGAAGGGATTCTTCATGCATTGAGAGGCAAGATAACATAAAGGAGAATCAAAAGAGAATAATTCAAGATAACAAAACAACAAGCAATTCAAGGGTTGAAAAATAAATTGAAAAGGGAAGAAGACCTTGGTGCAAGATTGATTTCTTATTCTACATTGTTATTCAAAACTCGGTGATATCTTCCATAATAATTTCTTGTTTTTCTTTCATTACTATGAGTAACTAATATAATTTTACGGCGAACAATGCAACTGATTTGGGAACTTTTATTTCTTTTATTTGAGTCCTTGTTCGTTATAATTATATGTGTGAATTTTAATCATATTCTGAATGTTTTGAATTTTCTGGCCAATTATTCAATGATTTTGTGAACAATAATTGCGTAGAGATGCAGATTCTTGTTTAAACCACATATTAAAATTCGGTAAATTAATATAATGTGTAGAGATACTTATATTAATTGCTACGGTCCTTATATGAATTCTTAGAACTATTATTTCGTTTACATAATGTTGATTTGTATAGAAATGTGGAATTGAATCATTTAAATAGGCTCAATGAAAACTTGAGAGGGGTAAATTGAATAACGTAGAAGAAATCGACCGAACACTATTTTAGATTTTATGAATCTCAATATTAGAAGTAAATGTGACCAATAAGTAAAGTTGTTCCGCCCTACTACCCATTTATTATTTGAATGCTCATTCATTTCCTGTTGCACTCACTAACTTTTAATTAGGTAGAATAAAAATCACTTTTAATCATTGTTCTTCTTTATTTTCGTCAAATAGAAGTTACAAATAATAAATTGAGTATTAAAGTATAGTTCTCGTGAGAACGATAATTCGGACTCAAAAAGTTTACTTTACTACTTGTTACGATCCGTCCACTTACGGGATAAAATTGACAACAATGAACTCCAAGACTCGACTCAAAAGAGTAGATTATTGGAAACACCTATTGCAATTCTTGTACTCATTGCAAGTAATGAAACAATATATAGACATTTTGGGGGGCACAAAATGGTGGTGACTACTTCTATGACAGCCTCTGTACTGAGAAAAATAAAAATTAACCTATATATTTGTATGTAAACTCTATAACTACAAAAATGGGACTTTTTTTTTTTTTACTATTCTACTACATCTGTGTATCACTAACTCTTTCACCATCAAGCTACAAATCCCCATTGCATAAACCTGTAAAAAGCCTAAGTCGTGATTAGTGCAATGTATAAATCTGAATTTTAAGAAAAGAGCGGCAGCACATGAATAAAACATTCAAATGAATGGAAAACATTATTGAAGTTCTGGCTGGCTCAATCGGCTTTAATACTGTGGCCCTAATCCACTAATTTGGTTCATTGAGTTGAATAATCCCAATTCACATGGGCAAATTATTTTTGTGAAAAAAAAAAATAACAAAATCGCCGACCCCATCTCCCTCCTCCTCCCTAATTAATGGACCATCATTAATGGGGTGATCGAGTTGATGGAGTAGGTGAGGGCGAAGGCTTTTGGCCACAAGTTCGATTCCCCCTACCAACACTTTATCGATCGAGCCTGTTGCACAGAGATTGCCTATTGCGATTTACCTGACTGATGTGGTTTGCAGGGTATTACATCAACTCGAGGGTTTATCTAGTGCGCACTCGAAGGGTAGCAGCTGCGGGTTCCCCCATCATTAAAAAAAAAAAAAGGACCATCATTGTATCTTTTGCTACAAAATACTAGTCGATGGTCCTGTGAATGACTCAATTAATTTTACAACTATACCTACATCTATGACCATGACATAAAGATTAATTCTGTGGAAGTATTACCTGAAACTAGGAATTGCACTTGTCCAATCCTTTTTGGATTATTTTTTGATATCTTGGAAATCCATTCTTCCATGCGGATACCTGCGCTCATGTGACATCGTGTAACTTAGCCATTGTCCACTCCTAAATATTGTTGTTTATGTTTTTATTTATTCAATTATATGACAAACAAAATGAACTTGATGTCTTCCGTAATTCTGTCCATTACAATTTAATTTAATATATTAAACATAAACTTAGGTGTAAATCATGCTTTAACAGAAAGAAGGCAAATAAAATGACTTGTTTTCATAGTAGACAGATTATTATTATTTGTTTGAGATGAATCACGGTCTTTTCTACAAGAAAGTTCGAAGTGTCAGTGTCACCAAAGTTTGGAATTGATAGGCTTTTGTCCATTCACAGTAAAAGATAGAGAGATGAGCAGATTGACCGATTATAGTTTTGTTTGGGACTCCTTACATTTGAAATTTCTTCGAAAGTATAAGTCTCTGTTTTGAAAATTTAAAAAGATTTATAAAGAAAAATAGTAAGAAGATAATAATGAGTTTTACAAAATGCATGAATTTAACAGAATTTACTGAATTTATACACTAAGTTATAAATGTGTAATTGAAATTAATGTTTCGTGTCAACATAATTTACATATTAGTATATAGAAGGATGCTAAAATTTTTGTTTTCTAGAAACAAAATAAAAAATGCCCCATTGAATTAAACGAGACAAAATTCAGTATAAATTAGAATTATTTGCTGACACACGCTAAACTTTTGAAAAGAGATAATCGTATTCTTCAATTATGCGAACCCCTCTTTACTTTTGATTAAAAAAAAGATAAAGTAAATTTTTATAAAAATTGATTAAATGTATGGTTAAAAAGTTAATAAAAATTATGAGTCTCACGATATAATTTATTAAAAATGAGTTTGAGAAAAAAATATTATAAAAAATGGGGTCAAACATGGCTAAATGTGAGTAGAGAAGTTATAAAATTATTCTTAAATATTTTTATTAGTTTCAACATTCAAAACTTGTCCAAACCGTTAACATTTTGCCGGACCATTTGGTGAAGCCAAGTCAAAGAAGAAATTATTCAAAAAATTGGCTTGTGGACCCCAAGTGTGTTGCAGGCTGGAAATTCCCCCACCCCATTTTAAATAATAAAATATGTATTTTTTTATAAAAAAATCTGAATTGACCAAAAGCCCCCTGATCATTCAATTAATTACCATTTGATAAATCAAAGACAAGGGTGGATGCAATGAGATTTGAGACTTACAGCTTCAATATCAATTCTGTAAACAAGAAGCTTTCTTCTTTCTCTGCAACTAATCCGGTACGCTGCACCTACATGCGCCATGGCCATAGCCAATGAGCAAACGAACAAAGCCACTTCTGTAGCTCGATCAGATGGTCCTCCATCGATCCTCGAATTGCTGCTAAACACATACGAAGCCTTCAACGATACAAACACCAACGACGAAACCGAACACGCGGTAGCAATTCCCAAATAGGGACCTCTTGAAAGCTTTGGACCATCACAAAAACTATAGACACCTAAACAAATAAGCAAAATCGTGATTACTGAATGAACATTTTATCTAAATGCATGTTTGATAAAAAAAAGACGTGAGAACATACATAATATAATAGCCGATCGAACAATGGATATGATAGGAATATCAACGAGTGAGTACCGATAGTCATAGTTGTTTAGATACGAAGAAAGGGTTTGGTGGGTTAGTAGTGAGGAAGAAAAAGAAACCGAGAACAGGATCGATGGTATAAGGGCATCGGCAATGGCTAGAAAAATTGGTGCTGAGAATAAGAGTAGAGATATTAACATGGTGATCAAGAAAAAAAGAGTTTTGATCCATCTTAGAATTCTCATTGTTTTCTCCTCTAATTTAGAGAATCCCAACTGTTTTTGGCAGTTGGGAAAATTGTATCTGTGTCTTTTGTGGGCTAAGAACTGGAGATTATGACGAGGGAAAGTAGAAGGGGCAAGGCTTAAAAAAGAAAGGAAAAAAATAAAATAAAATAAATAAATAAATAAAATGGAAGCCTAAATGCCGGCCGAGGTTCGATGTTTTTGGACAATAACATGGCTATTGACAGGAGGGAGGTATTCGGTCAAATAGAGGAGGCTTGTCGTGTAGTTCTACGTGTCATGTGGACTAACAGCGATACCTAATAAAATTCTCAACTAGAATCAAATTTCATATTAAAAAGTATTTAAGTATGAAGTTTTAAACAGAAATTGGAGAAAACATTAGCCTGTTTGATATGTATCATGTGGGACATAATTGAAAAGAACAAGAAAAATGCTTGTTTATTTAGGTTGTTTGGTGATGGAAGATTGTCATATACAAGTATGAGAGAGTGCGTCTATTTTATTGTTATCAAGTTGTCTATAGTTTTCGATTTTGTAATACATTCAAAACTTATTTGTTATGATATTTTTTAAAATAAGGTTATACTTAAAATATAAAACTCGAAACTCATTTTTGATGTTTTGAGTATTTTGAGTGAAAAGTCTAAAAACACTCAAAATATGATAAATAAGTTAAATTCTAAAAAATTAAATTTTCTATAAATTCTAAAAATATATATATAATTTCTAAAAAAATATATAAATTTTAAAACAAAATAAAACTTTAATAAAAATAAAAATGTCTTTAATAAAAATAAAAATGTTTTTATCCAAACTAAAAAGGGGTTTAATATTTCATGAAAACTTTCTCCCAATTTAGTATTCTGTGAAATATATGATCCCCCGTCCTATATATGACATTGAAATTATTCTATCCAAAAATTCCATTAATTTTCAATTTTTTGTGTATCAATTGTTTGTTAGTAATAAAACATCGATTATATTAATTTTTGATTGAATTATATAAGATGGCCAACGTATAGCATGTTGAAAGAAAAATGGACTTTGCTGGACGGACAGGGCCATGTGGCCTTGTCCGTTCAGGGTGCTAAATTGGCACCCCCTCCAATATGGAGCACCAATTAGGCCCCCTGTTTGGACAGGACATACGTGGCTCTGTCCAAACAGAATTATCTAAGAAAAATTAACTTGTTCTCAAATTCTGAAATTTTACTGATTTTGTTTACATTTTCTCTAGTCTTCTCCACTTGTCCTGCTAAGAAATGTTTGCATAATTAATAAAAACTCTTCAACACTTCTAATAATTGATTAGAAAAACGTTAATTATTCGAAGTTTGTGATTAATCAAGCGGGTATGGTGGAACCGATTTCTCAAGGCAATCATGTGCCCACATGCAACATTTTTGTCCTTCTCAATCTTCATAATTATTTTCTTAATAATTATAAGAAAAGTATTCTTATAAAAAGAACATAGAATCATGTATAGGATCATAGAGGTAAATAAGATCCTTTGTTTGATGAACTATGTTTATTGTTATCGCATTCCCCTCTTCATTGGCTGAATTATCTAGTCGAATACTATATCATAATTAACACTTAGAAGTTTGAATATGTTTAGTTGATTTCTATCAACTGAAAAAACTAAGTGCTTGTTTGGTAGAGATTTTGTTAATTAACTTTTTAACCGTTAAGAATAAAGTGGATCCTACCTATAACAGAAGAATTCAGAAATGACGGCTGAAATAGTGAAATAATGGTTAAAAAATTGATGTTAATTGGATTAAAATCTTGGATTAATTGGACTAAACTTGTCTGATTTAATTGAATTTTATGAATTTTTGTCTATCCATCCTCAAAAATAAAAATTATTGTTGTAATAAAATATTTTATTTGGTCCGATATATGCAAGTAGTTGGCTAATTAATATTTTCAACAATCTCGTGTCATTGCCTTGATCACTTGTACGAAATTACTACACGTTTTTCAATATGAAATAAAGTCATAAAAAGGTAATAGACAAAAAATGGTTTCACGTTTTCTTCCATCTGTTTGAATTGCTTAGCAGCCTAAATGAATTTTGAGTCAAACGAGATTTCTTGAAACTTTGCTTTCATCATAGACTGCATGTGAAGTCAAATTCTTGGCCAACTTTAGACTGAACTACATGGAGGATGGGAGAACTTGTTTATGTTCAGCTCGTATTTGTCTTTAACTCATTTTTCACATATTTTAGTTTATAAGTATTATTCACCTATCTTTATTTATTTATAATTTAAATTATTTATAAACACTTTCCAAATATCATCATAATACTATTTTTGTGTATTGAATTGAATAGTGGCCTAACACTAATGTTCATGCAATGAAGAATTTAATGCCCCCACGAGTATGACACAATAGTAAAGCAAGAGGATTTCACACGGAGTATCGGAGGTTCGAATCCCAGCGACAGAGAGAAGGCAACATTTATATTGGAAGGCAGTTGTCTTGTGGAAACAAAGTTATGGTACGCTTTGTCGCCCCTCCGGGGGTCCTGTCAGCACGTCGTAAAGAAAAGTCTACAGGGAGGAGAACCGCATTTTGAATGTCCGATTTAAGTGTGTATAAGTTGTATCTGCGTCCGGATTTACCTGGGTGGCAAACTAGTGGGGAAGGTCGTCACTTCTCAAAATTAGTCAGAAGAAATTTGGACACTTGAGCTATCAAAAAAAAAAAAAAAGAATTTAATTGAAACGAGGATCTAAATAATATAGTTGATATCATTTAACAATTTAATTAAAATTTAATGAGCGTGTAGTTTGTTGTATCATACTTTATTTCACCATCAAACACTACACATTGAATCAATTATGCCCTTTTGTGTTATTATATCGAATAAAGTGGCATTGTTCCTTACAATGTACCAAACATATGTCTTTGCAGTATTTGTAATGTGTGTCAGGTCCAAATTTAATTATAGAACCGTTCTAGTTTGGTTTCATTTGGTTCAGTTCAGTTCTCGAGTTCCGTACTATAATTAAAAATTTCTTTAATATTTACAAAACTACAATAATTCAACTAATGAGATGTTCGATCTTAAAGCTTATAAAATAATGTAGTTCAATTTTTTTTATGTCTTTATATCCATCTTTGTTGACTTCTTTAAAGATTTGATTGTTAATATGACATGAAGAGGAAGATAGCGAGCTCACAATAATTAATAGAGGCGTTATCGAACTTCAATTCGATTTCTTCAGAACTGTAGAAACGATACTAGGCAGAATAATGGATTTGAGTAAAACTTAGGTCAACTTGATTAAGTTGGACTTGAACTAAAAAATAGAGAAAAAAAATCATATTTTTGGGTTTGAGCTAAATTAATCAGTTAGCAAATTTATTTTTTAAAAATAATTTGACTTATTTAAAATAATTTAGTTAATTAATCTAGAACCTAGAATCGAACCAAATTCGTCAGTTTTCAATTCAGGTACCCGTTCGAGTATTTAATTTAAGAAAAACCACTCGATTTGGTTTAATTTGGTTCGGGTTTGTTCGATCAGTTCGATTCGAGAATTTTGTCTAACCCTAATAGAAACAAGAACAAAAATCCTATCACATGGACCATAAATTAAAAGACTCACAACAATTTTTCCATCCAAATATAAGTGAGCATGTCGTTTCCAATAGGAGATGCGTGAAGGGGATGCATACAATTGCATTAAAGTTTGAGATGGGTTGGCACTGTTTATCCCATAAAGTCTGTCATTTTCAATGTGGGAAGGTAAGAAGTAATTAAGATGCTTGAATGGTTTGGTGTGTTATTAACTTCATAGGATATCCCTTGTATGTGTGTTATACCCCATTCACGAATCGTGTACTGGTCAAAACCATACAATGTCATGATTCTCTTAACAGGCAATCGACATGTTTAGTTTTAGGCCTCGTTTGTTTTTTATTCTTTGGCCACAAAAATGAAAAATATGACTATTATTTATCATATTAAGTCATCATATTTGACTTCCTCTTTCTTGTGTGGGTTCGCTACTATATTTTTTATTCTCATTCTTATAGGAATGAAAATCAAATGGGGCTTAATATTTTAATCCTCTCGACTATGTAGTAAGTAAAAGTAATTTTTTTCTTTTTTTCGAACGCCATTAGAATGGTCGATGGAGTTATAACATTTTCTACCACCAATAAACTGGCATGCGGGCCATGGCCCGAGTTCTTGTCTATTGACTCGGTTTCTCATCGTTCAATCCGATCCTCCCTTCTATAGACAGAACTGCACAAAATCTCCCAGGAAATAGAAAGTGAAGAAGAAAAAATGGTGGGACCAAAGAGGCCACTGTTTGTGTTGTTTGGATCATCCATAGTTCAGCTTAGTTTCAGCAATGGCGGATGGGGTGCCATACTTTCCGATATCTACGCTCGTAAAGTAAAATTTCTCTCTCTCTCTCTCTCTTTCACACACACTCGCGATCATACGGACTCGTAATCTTTTTCGTACCTAGGACGATGATTAATATGTGCATTTAAACTTGTATTGCAAATTTCGTTTCTTGGAATGTATTTGTGATTATTTGACAAAATATTTGATCAGATGGTATATGTGCTGTTAGTTCTTCGATTAGTGCGTGCCGGGTATTTGTTTATTTACAGATTGGTTAGGTCCTTCTCTTGTTTCTAAAAGATCGAGGGATCTTAATTGTTTGGTTATTTTATTTTATGTATTTGCAAGTCTTATGGGAATGTTGATCAATTTTCTAATAATTAACATTCTTGCACATCTTAAAAAATTATATTTTGACCTAACCTTATTCTGCATCAGCAATCTCCCTGGCATCCCTTCATGTTTTTCAATGACTCAATGCTTATTCGAGAGGTACATATTTATTTAAATTATTTCAATACCCCTTCACTTCACCCGTGCACGAATTTTATATATAGGTGGCGACCAAACTTGAACCCACGGCATTAGAGCCCGTACAGGTCCAGGTCCTGGATTCAAGTTTAACAATGTAGAATACTCCATATTAGAGCATAGATAGTTGAAACCTAAAAACTCCTATGAGAGAACTTTTCTTTCACTAGGCGTGTAATGGTTTGGGGAGAAAATATGTCACTGTGATAGTCTCAAAGATATTGATTCTGATGTTTTATGTTACAAATGATAAACTGCTGTCTACATTCACAGGACTTCTGGAATCAAAGACTATAATTTATCTAACTAGTTGTAGTAGTAGTGTAGATAAAGGAATCCAAACCTATCTTTCAGTTCTTTCACAAAAATTAAGTATCCGCACTCAAGTTCTCTCACCATTTCTGGTGTTTGTCATATTTTAGTTCTTAAACAAAAATTACACAGATTTATTTCTAAGCTCTCAAAGCAAAAAAAAAATATATATTCCTGAACAATAGATTTAGTTTTGGGCTAACCAAGCAATATATCAGTTGCCACATTTTCTTGTAAACTAGCCCCCGATTGAACTTTCTCTCCAACTGTAAGCTAACTGATGGAGTTTTCTTGAAAATACTCTCATCGCTATTCAGAACATTAATTTTGAAATAACTCGACTGCTTGTTATATATGGAACAATTGAAGTCGTGTTTTTTCTGCTTTGTTTAGTCCTGTTCGAATGCTCCTGGTTTTTTCCCCCTTTATTTTCTTTAAGATGATATTCCACTAGGGGTACATTGCCAGGTCTGGAACTTGGGCCATCCTGCCTGTTCATTCAATTCAAATTGATATGCTGCAGGATTTGTATCAGCTCGTGCTCAAGCATGTAGACATTTTCTTGATGTCTTTAAATCTACTTTTACCTCCAGAAATGAACTTGCAGTAAGATGACATCGAAATTATTGTGGTTCGCACTATGGAAAGCATGACAAAAATGAGTTCATATTTTGTCTTATTTCCTCTACGATCTCAATTCTGAAGTCACTATATTGCATTCCATATCAGAAAACGCTTATCTTCTCCTGTTCATAGTACATCTTAACTCTGAATCCTGTTTCTTTCGCATCATTCAACTTCAACCAGCTAAACATGTGAAATCACTGAAACTTGTCTAAGTTATTTGAAGATATTATAGTATTAAAACAATAGTGTATGGAACATGTGCCCCTCACTTCATTATCTATAAAAACTGAAATCAGGATAAATGACAATGTCATACAAGTAAAAATAATTTTTGTCTTTAATTGTATTGATGGTTCGTTCCAAAACAAAAGCATTATTAGATTTCTTACTGTTATGAAAAAAAAGTGATTCGTGATGTTCACTAGTTGGGGCATGAGAAATATTAGCAGTATCTTCCCCTTAAGAAGGTTCTCATATAGAGGAAAAGAAAAAAATATATCCCGCATTGGTAGTAAAGGGCTCTCAGTTAATTGTGCACATTATAGCGAGTTTTGCATCAGATGATGTATGATTTTAGAATAAACGATAATGAAAATTCAAAGTTGCAGTTATGGATTTACCTTTCATATGTTACAGTAGCTATCCTTTGTTCAGTCATTGCATCGGACCATTTGCTGATATCCATCTTATGTCATGAACTTTGTAAAAGTCCTCATATCATGTTTAACTATTCTAAAATTTCACTAATAAACTTGTCTACTGTCTACTAAATTTTGTCCATATTGCTAATGTCTGTCTCTGTTATCGAGGTCATGAGGCTTGTTATGGAAGAACCGTGGAGCTAAAATTCCATGATAGAAAATGTTTCATTTAAGAACTGAATTCGTCTTCTCATGATGTAATGTCCTTTTAAATGTACACTTCTATTTTCATCTGCTGAAGTCTTTATATGTCGTCCTAAGTTATCCGCCTTCCATATTGATGAACTGTGTGTCATGCCAACAGAACACCTTCCCCCCTCCCCCACCTCAAGAAGATGATTATTTGTTGAAAATTACGAACCTTAAATTCCTAATAACTTGTGATTATATTTCTTCCATGCTTTGGAGAACAGTATGTTTCCTGCATGTGCAATTAGTGACTCCTGATTTGAAATAAAAAGACTGTTGCTGAAACATATATATAAATCTAAGCCTAATAATGAAAGCTAGTTATTTTCTTATTTTATTTCTGTGCAATTGATGTGCTTTGTGCACGCAATCTTGAACTATTTTGTTATTTTATGCATATAGTTTAGTCAAGAATTTCTGTGAATATGTGCAAATAGGCGTGTTGCATATTTAACTTAACTACATCATTAGCTTCTCCATTTACCCCATGTAGGCCGATGTAATCTCACGAGGCTACTACGGTTGGAATTCACGACGAGCCATCCAAGTCCTCGATCAAGTTTTTCCAAAGGTGTGCTACCAATAACTGCTTTTAAAGTTCAAATGATATATATTGAAAAATTCATTTCGATTATATTTGTTGCTTTATCTGCGACTTAAAAATGAATAAATACTCAATGCAATGGTGTGGAAACTCACTGACATATAAAACACGATAAACTGATTTATGCATTAGCTTTTGACTAGTGCTCTGTAGTCAATGTTTAGAGATATTCAACAGAGTAACAGATTATGAAGATTTCCCTGAGAATGAAACATGTATTATGAAACTGATTAATTTGGTAAAATCCTTCTTAGAGTGATGAGTTTCTATAATCGGCAAAAAATTGTTAATCCTTCTTTGACATCCCTTTTAGATGTTATACTAAAATCATTGATTGGCTGTGGTCTGATACTGAACCCGGCGTTTTTCTTTCTCAGGATGCTGCCATTCAGCCATCATTGGTGATAGTATATTTTGGGGGTAATGATTCTATGGGACCTCACTCATCTGGACTAGGTCCTCACGTTCCACTTCCAGAGTATATTGAAAACATGAAAAAAATAGCAATCCATCTCAAGGTAAAGTGTTTGTCTCTGTGAAGTAGTATTAAATGAACTTTGAGTTGTGACTTGTAGGTGTTAGTGTCAACATATCTATATTCTGATTAAAATATATTTCAGAGCCTTTCGGATACAATTCGCATAATCTTTCTGGGTTGCCCACCTGTCAACGAGGCTAAGCTTCGTGAAACCAGAAGGTACTATTTTGACTGACTACTACCTGTCTCTGGTATAACGATGGCATTTATTTCCTTTTAACGTATTTTGTTTCGAAAACAGTCCATACCTCAGCGAGCTTGTTCGAACAAATGAATTATGCCGGAATTATTCAGAAGCTTGTATAGAGTTGTGCGAGGAGTTGCATATAAAGGTTGTTGATCTTTGGACTGCGATTCAGAAACGAGAAGACTGGTTGAATGCTTGCTTTACGTAAGTACAATACCTTGTGTCAAATTGAACTCGACTCTCCGGACTTGCTCATAATTTCTGTTTATGAAACCATAACAAGCTTGCCAAGAAGACTTGATTAAGCTTAAGCCTGAAAAAAAAGCTTAGAAGTACTTGAATGTATTTTTTAATTAAAGCTTAAAAGTTACCATTAAGTTACATTTGGTCAATCTTGCTAATAATCCTAATCATCATTTTTTCTCCTTTCTCCTTCACCAGCGATGGAGTTCACTTGTCTGCTGAGGGAAGTAAGATAGTCGTGGAAGAAATACTCAAGGTGCTGAAGGAAGCTGAATGGGAGCCATCACTCCATTGGAAATCCATGCCTACGGAATTCGCAGAGGATTCTCCATATGATCTAGTTGCTTCTGATGGAAAAACCACCTTAAATCCGTCTGAATGGACTTTTCACAGAGAAATTCAATGGGACTGACTAGGTTAGGTTGTCTAATTCCTTTTGAGTCGATGGTGTTTCATGTTTCTAAAATGCTATAGTTCTGAGAAAATTATATGGAACTGCACTGGCTTCATTTTATCTATGATTCACCATGTATTGGTAAACAAATTCAAATCGCATAAGAAGCTTCACCGGCATGGTGTCATCGTGAATGAAGTGGAACTGCTTGATTCCTAGATGATGCTACTCCATATATGAACAACTACACAACATGATGATCATGTATATAAGCCATTCTTAATTTATCACATACAAAAACCCATATAAAATTAGTCTGAAAAATGGATCTAACAAAGAAATACACAACATGATGATCGTGTATATATGCACACTATCAAGTCATCTCACACAAGAACCCATATAAATTTAGTCTAAAAATACGATCAAACAAATTCAAATCGCATAAGAAGCTTTACCGTGTCGTACATTTCCCCCTTTCGAGAATGAAGTGGAACTGCTCGAA